GTTTTAGCTACAATACAATATACCTTAAAAGGCTTCCAATCCATTATTAGTGCTTTCAATCAAGTGATTTAGTTATACCCTTTTTCCTTTTTTCTCTCCTCTCTCCCGTGTTCTCTCCAGATCTAACTTATATTTAGGGATTACTGTTTGCTAATTTTTTCGGTCTTTTTTTAAAATCCTTAAGCTAATATCTGTAAGAGCAAAAAAAATCAAAAGTTGGGGAGTGGGGGGGGGGAATAGGCCTCAGCTTTAATTTTTGTAGTAGTTTTGTGACGACCCAAAGGGTCATCACCTGTTTTTAATTGAATTTTGTGCTTTCGACACCTAGAAAACCTTATTTAGAGTTGCCTTGATTTGCGTGAGCAGTCCGGACGCATAGCCGGAAAGCTTAAATATAAAATTCTATGAAAAATGATAAAATTTGAGTTTAAAATAAATAAATTTGACTTCGGTCAACATTCTGGGTAAAACATACCCGGACCCATGATTTGATGGTCCCGAAGGGTCCGTGGGAAAATATGAGACTTGGGCGTATGCCCGGAATCTCATTTCGAGGTTCCAAGCCCGAGAAATGAATTTTTAAGGGAAATTGTTTTCTGAAATTATTTTAGGAAATTTAAAATGAAATTTGATTAGAACATGGTGGTATCGGGAACGTATTTTTGTTCCGGCACCCGGTACAAGTCTTATATATGGTTTAAGTCATTTCTGTAAAATTTTGTTGAAAACGGAGTCGGTTTGACGTGATTCGGACTTAAATTGCTAAAGTTGATGTTTTATGAAGTTTGAGAAAAATCCTTTGATTTTGAGGTTTGGTTCATTGTTTTTGAGGTTATGTTGGTGATTTGATCACACGGATAAGTTCGTATGAAGTTGTTGAGTTAGTACGTGTGTTTGGTTAGGAGCCCCGAGGGCTCGGGTGTGATTCAGATGTGTTTCGGAGGGTTTTAGACTTAGAAAATGTTGCAGGTTTCTCAGCTGTTGGGTTTCTGGTGTTTCCTTCTTCGCGGGAGTACCCACGCGAACGCGATGGGTTAATTGTTGCTAAAGGAATTTCCTTCTACGCGAACGCGTAGCTCATGTCGCGAACGCGAGGCACTGGGGGGATATCTCTTCGCGAACGCGGTCCTGGCCATGCGAACGCGAAGACCAATCGAGCCTGGGCGGGGGTAGGGCATTTACCTTAAACGCGAACGCGAACCCTTAGACAGGAACACGAGGGCTCGAGGATATTACTCTCCATGAACGCGAGCCCGTGTACGCGAACGCGAAGGCTTATCCAGCTTGACCATCGCGAAAGCGAATGGTCAGTCGCGAACACGAAGGGCATTTTCGCCCAGTGATTTTTAAAAACCCAAAATAGAACACTTTCGGGATTTTATAAAAATTTCATAAACCTCTTCTTCTCCAAAGCTCCTAGACGATTTTTGAAGCATTTCTTCACCATAATCTCTTGGGTTAGTAATCTTTAACTTACTTTCTTTCATTTTCATCAACACCTATTGAATTTCTAGGCCTAAAACATGTGATTAAGGGTAGAAAATTAGGGATTTGGGTAGAGTTAGGGCTTTTTGATTTATTGGGATTTAGACCTCGTTTTGGGGTCAAATTTGAAAATAGATTATATATTCAGGCTCGTGGGTGAATGGGTGATCGGGTATTGCTCTGAACCTCGTGTTTTGACCAAGCGGGCCCGAGATCGATTTTTGGGATTTTGGGAAGAATGATTAGAAAGTTATAATTGAACATTGGAATTGGATTGTTTAGCACTTATTGATGATATTGAGTCAATTATGTATTGATTCGATTGGGTTGGAGCCGAATTTGAGAGGAAAAGCGGTGTTCGAGGCTTGAGTTAGCCGTGGAAGTTCGAGGTAAGTGTTTGGTCTAACCTTAGCTTGAGGGATTAGGAGTTGAGTCCTATTTGCTACTTGCTTCTTGTTGAGTGCGACGTATAGGCATGGTGATGAGTATCTATACATTGTTGTCGAGCATGACCGTGAGTCTTAAATTTGAACGTTGTTGTGCTCTTAGATGGCACTTCGGATGCTTTAATTAATGATCTCCTATATTGAGTAAAGATTGATTTTATCCTCGTAGATCTTAGTTATGATTGAGTATTGTCATTAATTGAGCTGAGCACAAAATGAGTTAGGATTTGGTTATAGCTGATTCTCCCTTGCCAGGATGACTGTTTCGATATTGTTGTTCTCTTGCCGAGAAGTTATTATATTATTTTGCTCCATTACCGGGACTTCTTGTAATTTTGTGATGATTTGTAAATGGGAGCGAGTGGTACGCCTACCACAAGATATAATAAAATGGGAGCGGGTGGTACGCCTATCACAATATATAATGAAATGGGAGCGGGTGGTACGCCTACCACGAGATATTATGCAATGGGAGTGGGTGGTACGCCTACCACAAGATATGAGAAATGGGATCAAGTTGCACGCCTGCAACAAGATGAAACTGAAAGTGAAAGTTGCCTTATTTCTTTTCTTCGTGTTAGAAGTTAAATTGTAGTTTCCTTATTATTCTTTGATATTCTGTTTTATCTGCTACCCCCGAAGCATGTTCCGCTTCCCCAGCTTTGATTGCTTATTACCTGTTTACTTTTTTCGCCATATATTATATAACTGCACATGTTTATCTGGAGTCTGGTCCTAGCCTCGTCACTACCTCGCCGGGGTTAGGCCAGACACTTACCAGCACATGGGGTCGGTTGTGTTGATGCTACACTTTGCACTTATGTGCAGATACCGGAGCAGCGTTTAAGCAGCAACATTAGCTCGGGAGCTAGCCTTCAGTCCACCTAGACACCGAGGTAGCCTTGCAGGCGTCCGCATGCCCGGCGTCTACTCTATCCTATTTTATATTCTGTTATCTCATGTATTCGAGACAGACAGTGTTATCTTTCTTTCAAACTAATGTATGTAGTATTCTTAGTAGCCCGTGGATAATGTGATACCAGGTTCTGGGTAGAGACATGTATTGGTTTCTAGATATTTGGGTTTCATATTTATTTAAGACTTCCACTAAATTTTATTTTTCGCTGTTATTTAAATGCTTAATCGTCGATAATTTAACCGGCGAAACATGTATTAAAACGAAAGAGTTAATGGTTTCTAAGTTCATTGCTTGCCTAGCTTATACGAGTAGGCGTCATCACGACTCCCGAGGGTGGGGATTCCGGGTCGTGACAAGTTTATAAATTAATATGTTCAGATATAAATGTGTATATGTATTATCTATATATGTATATATCTAAGAAGAACCCAATATAATTTAAGCTTTCAAGAATTGTAGAAGCAGTCTACAGTTTGTTAAAATAGGTGTGCAGGCTATTGAAACTGCACTTTAAAATGAGAAGTCAGAAAATTTAACCAATTAATAGTAAAAAGTTATTGACAACAGTAACAACTTCGGGCAATACAGTGTAATACACGAATCAGCTGAGCCATAGTTGTTCGATCGCTATATTCTTACGGGGTCTTGCTTGATATAATATAAGCGGATGGGTTAGTTATAATTAGCTTAGATGTGACTTCTTTGCTCGATTTTTCATTATTTTGTTTAATTGCATATTAAAGAAGCAATAACTGAAAAGATAAAAAATCAATTAATTGAGAGAAAAAGGCAAACAAATCATTCTCAATTAACATTTCACCAAACTATCCACAAAAAATAACACAAACTCATCATAAACCGAATTAACAAGAAAGAAAAAGAATCAAAAAGCTAATAAATGGAAAATATATACTTACTACCGGTTAAATACAACTACAATGTCATACAACTTAAATACAATTTTTATACAATATATCTTTTGTATATTTTGTATCTGATTTATACATAATAAAAATAAATTTTATACAACTAATTATATATTATACAACTTATCTACAACTTTCATACATTATTTCTACCCAGTTATATACAACTACAATATCATACAACTTAAATGCATTTTTATATAAATTTTATACAATATGTCTTTGTATATATTTCGTATCTGATTTGTATATTTTTGTTTGTGGTGTGTGCTTCTTCCTCTCTAAAATTCCAATCAAAACTTACTCTCTTAATACAATTTTGATACATTCAATAACTTTATGTAAAAAGATTGTATCGATAACTTAAATACAAATTTTATACAATGATTCATACATTATACAACTATTGTTCAGCTTTCATACAACACTCAAATAGAAAAAATATATAATTACAACATAATACAATTTACATACAATGATAATATAACTTTACACAATTTCGTAAGTATATTGTACGTCATGTCGTCTTCTTCTTCTTCTTCTTCTTCTTCTTCTTCTTCTTCTTCTTCTTCTTCTTCTTCTTCTTCTTCTTCTTCTTCTTCTAGTTTCAATCTGAAATTCAGCCAAAATCAAGTCTAATCTTCATCAAACACCTTCAAAATTGAGATATAAACTCCAAACAATATTCCCAATTGTTTGCAACAACACGCAATCCAAACCAATAATGATTTTTGAAAACTCCAAATTCGAATTCAAAGCTTCAAAGATTTTTAATGACTGTCAATGGTGGAGAGTCAAACACTTTCAAAATTTATTGATTGACAATTTTAATTTGAGCACCAATTATGCAGCATGAAAGGAAATTACTAAGTTAAAACGAGTGAAATCCATTGATGAATTCCATTAAAACTCTATACAACAAGAAAGCATAAAAATAAAGAACATCAAATGAAGAAAAATTGAAAAGAAAAAACAGAGAAGGAGAGTAGAGAGACGAAGACAGAGAGAGTGGGCAATTATGGATAATGAAATAATTTATATTTCTTATTCAATTCCTAATATAAAGGGATACTCATTTAAAATTTATTTGTATATAATTGTTAAATTGTATATGATCATATAATTAAATTGAAATTTGAGTAGTGTGGATAATAAAGTTTCAAATAGTATATTTAAAAAGTAAACGGACTATTTGTGAAAAGATCCGGAGTTTACTCTGGGCTTTTGGATGAAGAATCCGGCCTGTTACACTTTTCTATCGTTTCTCCAATCTTCTGCTACTGCTAAACCCTGACAGAACCCTATTCCCCTCCATTTTCAAACAAGCACCATTTCCAAATGGCTCTCTCCAAACACACCTTTTTCACCCATCACCTCAAAACCCTAGCTAAACCCCATTATCTCCGCCGCCCTCAACCACCACCACCTTCCTTCATCTCCCTCCGTCTCCTCTCCTTCGCCACCCCAGAAGAAGCTGCCGCCGAACGCCGTAAACGCAAGCGACGCCTCCGTATTGAACCTCCTCTATCCTCCCTCCGCCAACAGCACCAACCTCGTCCTACAACCCCTCAAAACCCTAGCTCCGCCAATAACCCTAATGCCCCGAAAATCCCCGAAACTGTTTCCGTACTCACCGGAAATAGACTCAATCTCCATAATAAGATTCTCAAACTGATTCGTGAGAATGATCTAGAAGAAGCGGCGTTGTACACGCGCCACTCTGTTTACTCCAATTGCCGACCCACTATCTTCACGTGTAACGCCGTTATGGCTGCACAGCTCCGTCAGTCCCGTTATTCCGACCTGCTCTCACTTCACCGGTTCATCACGCAGGCTGGCGTGGCGGCGAACATCGTCACACACAATCTGCTCCTCACGGCTTATATGGATTGCCGTAAAACTGATATGGCTATGGAACATTACAAACAGCTTATTAATAATGCACCATTTAACCCTTCACCTACGACTTATCGGATACTTATTAAAGGACTTGTTGATAATAACAAGATTGATAGGGCATTGGAATTGAAGGAGGAAATGTTGTCTAAGGGTTTTAGTGCTGACCCAATTGTGTATAGTTATTTGATGTCTGGACAAGCTAAGGGTTCAAACCCGGATGGTGTTTTCGAACTTTATGAGGAGTTGAAGGAGAAAATGGGAGGGTATGTTTCGGATGGAGTGGTTTATGGGAGCTTAATGAAAGGTTATTTTTTGAGGGGAATGGAGAAGGAGGCAATGGAGTCTTATGAGGAAGCTGTGGGTGCGAATTCTAAGATTAAGATGAGTGCAGTGGCGTTTAACTATGTTTTAGATGCTTTAAGCAAGAATGGGAAGTTTGATGAGGCTTTGAAGTTATTTGATAGGATGTTGAATGAGCATGATCCTCCTAAAAGATTGACTGTGAATTTGGGTAGCTTTAATGTGATGGTGGATGGTTATTGTGCATTGGGAAGGTTTAAAGATGCAATTGATGTTTTTAGCAGCATGGGTGAGAAGAGGTGTAGACCAGACACGTTGTCTTACAATAATCTGATTGAGCAGTTGTGCAAAAACGACTTGTTGGGTGAGGCTGAGGACCTTTATAAGGATATGGGAGAGAAGGGGGTCAGCCCCGATGAGTTCACGTTCGTTTTGTTGATGGATACTTGCTTTAAAGAAAATAGGCCTGATGATGCTGCCATGTATTTTAAGACTATGGTTGATGCTAAATTGAGGCCCAATCTTGGGGTTTATAATAGGTTGGTTGATGGGTTGGTTAAAGTTGGTAAAGTTGATGAAGCAAAATCATTTTTTGATTTAATGATGGGAAAGCTGAGGATGAATGATGATAGCTACAAGTTTATGATGAATGCATTGTTCGAGATTGGAAAGCATGATGAGGTGCTTAAGATTGTGGATAGAATGTTAAGGGAGGATCCAGCCGATTTCACTGATGAGTTGCAAGAGTTTATTCGAGAAGCCTTGAAGAAGGAAGGTAGAGACGAGGAGTTGACCAAGCTTATGGATGACATTGAAAGAGAGAAGAAAGAAGCTGCAGCCGCAGAAGCTGAAGCAGCTGAAAGAGCAAAGGCGAGTGCAAGAGCTGCTGTTTCTTCTTTGATAAATAGTCCTAAATTGTTTGGAAATAAGGAGCCCGAAGAGCAGTCAACAACTGCTGGTGAGGCTGCGAACAACAATGATGATGTTAAACAAGCGGTCCCTGAAGAAGAGGTGAGTGCTCAAGAAATTGCTGCCGAGGCTAGTTCTTCTGGTGAGGGTGCAGAAGCTGAGAACCTGGTTGCTACAGAAGCTAGAAGTGATGGTGCAGAAGCTGAGAACCTAGCTGCTACAGAAGCTAGAAGTGATGGTGCAGTTTGATCGGATAGCAGCATGAAGTTGCAATATGTTGGTCGCAACTAATGAGAAAAATAGCATGTTTCTTTTCATGCTGTCACAGTTGCAAGCATGAAATAAGATCCTCTTTTGATAAATTGCTGGTGGTTAATTGTGTAATTTAGATGAAAATGAAATGAATGATTTTCTATATCATCTTTAAAGTAAATGGTGGGCGACAAGTTGTAATGCAACAATGTATGGTGGAATCTAATTGTTATTATTTCTTGTTACACTAATACACAAGTTATATTGTGATTGTAGGTTTACCTACAAGGTAGTGTTATTGACATAGTTAAATGTTATGAGGCATTAGCTTCCAATCTGGTTGTCTGAATGCTCGTGGCTATAACATTTTTCAAGCAGAGAGCAACTGCCATAATGTGAACAAACTGCAGGCTCTATATTGTAATCTGTTCTTAATTAAAAAAGATTATTGATCTGTTATGGGGTTGGCCTCTTTTCATTTAGGAATCTTGCACTACGTTTATCTTTGAATTATTTGGCGGCATGAACTATTATTGCCAATATTAGATTTATCATAGAGATTTTATTATGGATACAATCAAAGGGCTTACAAAATTCAAAACTTGAGAAGTAAGGAATTATCGATGGCCTTTGTTTGAATGAAAGCAAATGGAAACTTTATTGTAGTGGACGCTGGTTTTGAGCATTTCGCTTATTCTTATTATCTTTTATTACAGCCATAGGCGATAGAATAATCATTCCAATGAACCTTGATCTAGATTGTTTCTAATTATCATTAATCATTCGAGATGAAGCTACAAACACAAGAAAAAGTAACATGGTTATTAACAATTGATACAACTAAATCTTCAGGACAATGATATGTAGCCGGGCAGAGCATGAATTTGCGACGGTACAAACAGATTGCTGTCTGTCTCTTACACCCACTGTCACATGCACATACATCCACAGGAAAAAAATAGGGGAGGGAAAAAGTAAAGGGAAAAAACAATCACCCCGAAAGATAAATTAGCTACAGAGATTTGGTATGCACACTCCACCCTCTGGATTTTGCTGTTCTTTCCATATCCTTCCAGTAACTCGAAGTTTTAGCTCCTTTCGATCCCCGCCAGAAAAGAAAAGTGCCATGTTACGTTGGATTATAAGACCATCATGACTGTCCCTGACCTTGCGGTGGCTATCTCGAATACTTCTTGGTGTTCCCTCCCATATGAGCTTTCTACCATTCGCACCTACTTCGAGACTATAGCTGTAATTGCGTGCCTCAGTCTCATCCCCCATAAATCGTAGAAAGGCCATGTAAACAGGGGCCACTCCAAGCTGGAAGGCCTCAAAGTGGAGACAAAAATACTGCCCAAAACAATGGAAGACCTGAGAAAGGAGCAATAAGGTTTAGTCAATGAGAATGTACTTAGGATACGTCAATAGAAATATATGAGAGGAGAATTTTTCTGGTTCCACTGTCTTAAGAGGCAAAAGTGGAATTATTCAGAATGTGTGCCACCATAAGATGTCTAGAGAAAGTTTAAAACACATCATGCCTCAGAACTCTTCCCTAACTATGTTGTATTTGAATGTATCAAAGTAAAATGTACACCCTTTAACTCATAAAAGGCCAGTTTTTCTTTTATTTGAGGTCAATCATAAGGAGCACTTTTGTTTTAGGTGATAAGATGCACTTGTTCATTCATTGTTTTCAGAAACTCAATACCCAACTAATAAGAACCTTTAACCTTTCAATAAAATGATAGTATAATATTGTCCAACACATTCCTTAAAACAGAATCTCCAGGAACCAATCAAGACCCTATAAAAGAGAAGATGAGCACAGAAAGAGAGAACAAGAAGATAATGCAGGGCATTACAGCAAAAGCTACAGAATGTCATAGATTAATCTGGTTATCCAAGTTTTCCAAATTTGAATAATTCATCCACAGAACTTTTACAGGTCTATTAGTCAGCTAGTTGGGTGGATGAAAAGGAAACTTAAAAGCTTCATTATCCAAGAAAAGCAATGAAAAAAATGACACATGATGTTCATCGGTCACCATTATCGTTGAACTCCAAAAAGTTAAAAATATAGCTGGACTTACCGTCAGCATCCATGTGGCATTTTCTACTTCTCGAGGATTTGACTTCACGTAACGGTGGTTGAATGTGCATCCGGTGTGCATATCCACTTTATGATCATCTCTTAAATGTGCAACCAAATAAGGGATGTCACCGGTCACTGAGCACTCTGATCCAGCATATGGGCAATTGTATGGTCTAAAATTGCACAGTGCCTCATGCTTGAGCTTACTGTAATATGGGAATATTTCTGGGCACCCCAAAGAATAATATTTGCAAGGGAGTTCAAGTGATTCTGCAACCTTCTCAAGTGCTAAGCACCTTATATCACCAAGTTCTTGTCTGCATGTAGGACAACGATTATGCACCCTTGTTTTGCAGGTAGAACAAAGCGTGTGTCCATTATGACACTGCAAAATAAACAAACTTTTAAGTCTTCACCACTCTATGTACTCTAATTTAAAGACTAAACGAACAAAAGCATCGAAGATTATCATTGGTCACTCACTTTATGCACCAAACTATCATACAAAAAAACAGTTCACTCACAGCAACGAGAATCTTAAGGAACAAATGTTAATAAACAAGAAAAGCTATAGGGAAAGGAGAAGGCACATATTCATTAGTGGTTGTACAAGCTCAACGTTCTCTAGGCACATGCATTTCCGCTCTATCTGATGTAGGAAAGCAGGCTGCTATAAGATTTAGCCAGCAAAGCCTTCTTTTACTAATTGACAATAATTTGGTAGGCAAAGTATCAGTGACAAATTTCCAGCTTGGTCCCTACAGGCATACTATAAATGAAACAAAAAGACAGCATCTATATATGCTGAGGAGTTTCCACTTCTGCATATAGAATTCCTAGTGCGTTCAGTATTAAGTAATGTCGAATGTCAATCAAGTCACCTGAAATAACTATAAAGAATCATGTCACCTGAAATATACTCTGAGATTGTACCAACTGACAGGCTTACTATAAATGAAATAGAAAGACAATAACTATATATGCTGATGAATTTCTACTTTCAGCATATTATTCCCAGTGGTATTCGGTATGTCCTGGAAGGGCATAGTTGAATTACTCCCAGCGCGAGTACACCATTTATAACTTGTTCAAGAAAATTTGGATATGACTACAGAGAGTGAAGTCAAACTTATCTATTACAGTTTGCCCAAGAAAGTTTGATGTGTCATTACAAACACATCAAACTTATCTTACACAGTTGCTTGTCCATCTCCCTAAGTCTCACTTCCTACCCATCGAGGAGGAATTTCATGTTTTTATTTATTTATCTTTGGATGGGGTGAGGGTGGTAGGGTTTATGGGGTCTGCCACAGATTGAGTGCCTTCCTGACAGAGACCTCATTTTCCTGACAATCCTATCCCATAGATGTACATCTATGGGACCAAATTCATCCAAGCTTCTAAGACCACACTAGTTTGACCCTATATAATGAGTACGATCCTAGTAAGGCTGCACAAATCTCAATCAAAGAAAATGAGCTTCAAGGAGCAATAATAAGCAAAATATGACTAACCAATCTACACAGCCGGCAGATATGACAACAATATAACTCCCCTACAGAGCTTCTATACTAAGTCCCTAAAGGGAGAGACTAATTTTATTTGTTATGTGATGTCGAGGTCTGCTTGCACACACTTGCACAGTTCAATCAACTTCGTATACCTCCAACTAGCACAAGTATTAAGATATGACTAAATTAGGCCATGTCCAAATTATTTGTGTAGTGGCTAATTATTCTTGAAGCCAAAGTAAATTGTGTGGAGCCAATGTATTCTTGTAGCCAAAGAATAAAAGTTCTTTCTTTTATAATTGGAGACAAAGAATATTCTCTTGTAAGTAGGTATCTCACTTTGGAATGAATTCTCTATGAATACCTCTTTCAAGTTAGGAAATGGCATCAACATCAGGTTTTGGAAGGATAGATGGTTACAAGGGACTGTCCTAATGAATGAATTCTCAGACCTTTACCAGACAGCTAATGATCAAGATTCCTCTCTCTCTCAGAATTGGCAAGACAATTGCTGGCAAATCCAATTCAGAAGGGACTTCCAAGACTGGGAAATTCCACAGTTGTTGAGTCTCCTGGCTAAATTAGAGGGATACTCAGTCAACCACAACATTGCTGACAATATTAAGTGGATGGATGGCCTCTACTCAGTGAAAGCAGGGTACTCTCATTTATGCTCAACTAATGAAATCATTGATAGATGGCCTTGGAAGTACATCTGGAAGACAAATCTTCCCCCAAAGATCACTTGCTTCAGCTGGATAGCCCTTAATGAATCTTGTTTAACACAGGACAACCTTAACAGAAGAGGTATGCCAATTATTAACAGATGTTTTATGTGCCGGCAACATTCAGAGTCCAACAGACACTTTTTGCTACGTTGCTCAGTTGCCTCAGACATATGGTGCATGTTTCTTTCTATCTTTGGTCTCAGTTGGGTCATGCCACAAAGCATCAGAGAAGTCTATGAATGCTGGTCTGGTTGGAAAGTTGATAGAGTCATCAGGAAAGTCTGGCAGATGATCCCTGCTTGTATCTTTTGGTGTGTCTGGCCAGAAAGGAATCACAGATGTTTTGATGGGATATCAACCCCAACACACACACTTAAAGCTAGATGTCTCCTTTGGTTATTTAGTTGGCAGTATTTAGCCCCTGTAGATTGCCATATTAACTTTTTGTATTTTGTAAGCTCTTTTGCTTTAGCCTAGTATTTCTTTTCCTTTTTGTATCAAAGCTGACTCTTTCCCCTTCTTGTACTTCTTGGATCTTCTTGATGCCTTTTTCTATAAAATTCATTACTTCATCAAAAAAAAAAAAAAAGGTATCTCACTTCATTTTTATCCCTCCCGTTCTCAAATACAAATTTCTGTATTCTATAACATTCCTGGTTCTGTAATTAGTTAAAGAGTTCAATACATTCCATAGAAACACTTTTGAGTGAGCCTCTATGTAAGTGAATGTAGTGAGGTTTCTAGAATTATTAGAGTTTTATCTCTAATTTTGTACACTCTTTTGTGTAACTGTCGATATAGTAGAATTGCTCCTCTCAACCCGTGGGTTAGGTATCACTTACCGAACCACGTAAATTTGTGCCTCCTTTATTTGCATTACTTACCGTCACTATCGACTTGCATTGTGTTTGTTATTGTAGTAGCCTTATAATGACA